TTCCATTTTTCTAAGTACAAAGTCCCCTACTTTGAGTGGACGCCTGTGTACTTTTTTGTTGTATGATCTAGTCATTCTCAGGCGATAGATCTCATGGCGCAAAACAGCATTGCCCCTCTTTTCAGGAAGTGAGTCTAATGCCAGGCGCATGGCTTCCCAGTTTGCCTCTTCGTTATACAGCATTACTCGAAGAGTCGGCTCGTAGTGTTCTATTGGAAGAACAGCTTCTGCACCATAAGTTAGGAGGAATGGAGTTTCTCCAGTCGCCCCTTTTTCAGTCGTCCTAATGGCCCAGAGAACATGTGGTAGTTCATCCGCCCATAGGCCGCCTGCTCGTTCAATCTTTTTCTTGAGACCGTCTGAGATGATTTTATTAAAGGCTTCTACCTGGCCGTTTGCTTGTGGACGGCCGACAGATGCAAAGTAGTGTGCAATTCCTTGGTCTCCCAACCAGCTTTTGAGAACAGGCGTCTCAAATTGGGGACCATTATCAAAAACCATAGACATGGGAACCCCGAACCGAGTGATGACGTTTTTCCAAATGAATGAAATTACATCTTTCGTCTTGATTCCCTTTACAGCCTCCGCCTCTACCTTGCCTTTTTCTTAATTGCCTGGAAAAAGTATAGGCATTTGTCGCCTGATCGGCTTAGGAATCTCCCCAAGGCCGCCAGACAACCTGTTAACTTCTGAACCTCTCGGACGGTACGAGGCGACTGCATGTCAATGACCGCCTGTACCTTCTCAGGGTTCGCCTCTATTCCTCTCTGATTGATAAGGAATCCGAGAAATTTCCCAGACTCAACTCCAAATACACATTTCTTGGGATTGAGCATGACATGGTGCCGCCTGAGTGTGGCGAAAGTTTCTCGGAGGTCCGTCAGATGATCTTTCTGAAGTTTAGTCTTGACAATCATATCATCAATATATGCCTCGACGTTTCTCCCAATCTGATCAAAGAACACTGTGTTTATCATTCGTTGGAAGGTAGCCGGGGCATTCTTAAGACCAAACGGCATGACCGTGTAACAGTATAATCCCTGATCAGTGACGAAGGCCGTCTTCTCCTGATCTTTCTTCCATAAAGGAATTTGATGGAAACCAGAATAAGCGTCCATAAAACTCATCAAGGCATGGCCGGCTGTTGAGTCGACCAGGTTATCAATTTTAGGCAGAGGGTAACTGTCTTTGGGGCACGCCTTGTTCAAGTCTGTGTAGTCTACACACATTCGCCAGGTGCCATTCGGCTTTTTAACAAGCACCACATTTGCAACCCAATCTGGGAAGTAACATTGCCGAATGAACCCTGCATCAAGTAATTTTTTGACTTCGGCGGCTGCCGCCTGACCTCTTTCTTCACCATGGTTCCGCTTCTTTTGCCGTACCGGCTTCTTTTTCGGATCCACAGCGAGTTTATGTACCGCCAAATCAGGACTAATGCCTGGCATTTCATGGACTTCAAATGCAAAGATGTCCTTGTATTCTTTCAACAGGTTGTGAAAGTCGTCACCAAGGTTTCTCAGAGCAGTCGTCCCAACTTTGACTGTTCGGTCAGGACGTGAGTCGTCTAATATCAGGTCCGCATGCTCACCAGCCGGCTGAGGGCGGAACTCATCCGGCCGCTCCTCTGCCAATGATTGCTATTTTCTTGCTTTTCTTGCGGACTCTGTCTGGGACGCCTTTCTCTTTTTGTCGCCTGTTTCTTGAACAGGCGCACTCTCCTTGACATTGTCAAGGTCTGTTTTTTCTCCACTTGACCCAGTGGCCATAACAGTGGGCTTGACATCCGAGAGATAGCACTCTCGGGCCATCCTCTGATCTCCCCTTAAGGAGCCGACTGTTCCATTATCCCTCTCAAACTTAAGCAGCATAAGAGACGGGATTATAACAGCCTTGGAATTATTCAGGGTTGGTCGACCCAGAATCATGTTGTAGGCCGAGAGTTCCTCTACTACTAGGAACCGGACTACCATGTGTCGTCCTTCCCCTTTTTCGCCCAGGAGAATGGGTAGATCTACTCGTCCCAGTGGGTGGACGACTCCTCCTCCAAACCCTATTAAAGGGTGGGAGGCCGGATGTATGCAGTCCGTCTGATATTTCAGTTTTGACAGACATTTGCTGCTGATGAGATCTGAGGAGCTCCCGGTATCTATGAGGATTCGGCCAACTCTCTGGTTGGCCACTTTACATTCAATAACGAGAGGGTCGTCATGCGGCCCCCTTATTCCTCCTAGATCCTCTTCAGTGATGACAATCTCAGGAAATGTATATTTGGACGGCCGTTCTTGGTGAACGGAATTTACATCTAACCGCCTTATATTATCTTTGTTGCCCCTAATAGTGGGGCCGCCTCCTGAGAAGCCGCCTGCAATGGTGTAGACGACTGCATCATCTGTATCGGAACTGTCGGCCTGTTGATTCTTTTTGGCCGACTGCTTTTTTGAGGAAGTGTTCCCCGTAGATTTCTTGACATAAGTGTCAAGATCACCTTGATCAGCCAAGCGGTCTAGGTACCGCATGAGACTGATGCAGTCATTGGTGTGATGACCAACGTCATCATGATAAGCACAGATTTTTTCTTGGTTCCGGTTGCTTGCAGAACCCTTCATGGGGAGCGGCTTCTCAATTGAGAACCGTCCCTTTATTTCTTTTAGGATAAACTGGTTATCCTTGTTAAACACATACTTTGGGGAGTATGGTTTGAATTCTTTTTTCTTTTTCTGAGTCGGCTGTTTAGAGGAGTCAGCCGCCCAGACCTCTTTTCTTTTCTCATCTTTGTTGGACGACTGTTTCTGTCGTCCCTCTCTTTTGTCGAACCTCTTCCCGTCCGACTGTTTTATCGTACACAGATCAGTCGCCTGTATATAGGCTTCTGCTTCAATCAAGGCCTCTTGAAGAGTCGCCACCCTTTTTCGAACTAAATCAAATTTGAAGGTAGACCCGTCTTTGAAACCTCTAAAAAAGTCAGTATAAGCTACCTCATCCGGTAACCCTTGAATCTGTATTCTCATCAGGTTGAACCGCCTGATGTAAGAACGAAGCCCCTCCTTCTCGCCCTGCTGAATTGTTCCCAAATCAAGGGTCGTTTTCTTCGCAGGGATGTTCATAGCGAAGTTGGAGGCAAATAAGTAAGCAAGCGTCCTGAAGCTGTTTACACAACCAGTCGGCAGGTTGCCGAACCATTGCTGTGCAATTCCCTTGAGAGTCGCTGGGAAACACTTGCACCAAGTGGGATCATCCAACCCTTGAAGGTACATCAGGTTGGTGAATGCCATCAGATGGTCTTCTGGGTTAGTAGTGCCGTCATAGGCGCCTACTAGAACATTTTTTACTTTGGCCGGCTGAGCGGCTTCAGTAATTTCCTTGGAGAAGGCCGACGGCTGTTCACCAAGTCTAAGCAGCCGTAGCTGCCAGTCCATAGGTTGGACGTTTTTTGCTGCAGGTCCACCAAATGGAGGTGGCTGCATAAAATACTGTTGTTGCGGCACAAATGGTAAGTTTGGTACCGCCTGGGCACTATGAAAGCCGGACTGACGGGAGGTGCCGCCTGACTGACTCTCATGGTACGACTGAGTATGCCTCATCGAGGCATTTCGCAAACTGTCCTGAAAATTTGAAGTAGAAGCCGACTCTGATAATCGGTCACTCTTCTTCTGCTCTAGCAGGAGCCGAGCATCTGTGAACGTTTGCTTTGACCCGTCCGCCTGAATATGACGAACCGGTTTCCTATTTCCCGTAGGATAACGGAGTTTTGTGAAATCAAGAGCAGGTGGCTCCCGCTTCTTGGATTTAGGATGGGGAGTCGCCTCTCGCCCTTGAACTGGCTTCCTCTTCAGTGAAGTGGAAGGTTTCTTGGCCGACTGCTCTTTGACTGAAGCAGGCGGTTTTTTGTTGATCAACTCTTGAATCTCTCCCTTGAAGTCCCTCATGAAGGTCATGAGTTCGTTCCTTGTGATGGGAGCAGACCCATCAGTCGGCTGTTGCCGAGTAAGCGGTGCGCCTGCTGGCTCGCTTCCTGTTTGAAGATGCTCCCGTTCCCTCCTTTCGGTATGACGGGTACGTCGGGCCCTTAGGGTCCCGTCTGGAGCTGTATGAGTTTCAACTTCAAATTCACTTTCGGTATCATGGTCCGACTGAACTTGAGGGTCGTCTAGGGGACGCCTCTCTTCTGGAGTCGGTACAGACTTGGATGCCATCTCTGAAGTACTCTCCCCACAGACGGCGCCAAATGTTTCGGGGTTTTCTGATGTCCTGCGGGAGAGTTACAATTCCGAGACTGGAACCGGACGCCTGTACCTGCAAAATAACGGAGACTCCTGAAAGCTCCGCCTCCAACGGTCAAGTTAGTACCTGATTAAGGAGTAATTGATACGGAAATTAAAGTAATAAGATCTCTCTAGGTGAGAGTGCTTAGTGTTGGTAATCTGCGTCGTTAGCGAGATTAGCCGGTTGTTGGTGTTCCGTAATATTTCTGTTCTTCTCTGCTTGATTTCTTGATTCTTCGATTCTTCGATTACCTAACTAATGAGGATTAATTAAGTATTTATAGCCTTGAGAAGCGTGCCACTCTCTAGGTTTAAGGTAAACCTAGGGCTGATCGGGCCTCTAGACTGGATTGGGCCTTGATGGCCGGTTTTCCCATTTGGCATGGGTGGACACGTGGCGTGTCTAAATTGGTCCGTAGAGGACGTATCTGTGATTGACACGTGGCAGACTCCTGTTGGCCTTCGTGAAGGACACGTGGCGGAACCTGGTTGGTCCACTTGTCAGACGGTGATTGGTGGATAAAAATCCCTTAATCAGTAGGTAAATCGCCCATAATTGGGATTATTAAAGTGTATTTTTCCTATTTTATAATAATAATACTTTGTACTATGTATAAATAAAAAAAGAAAAATCCAATTACCTACTATTTGCTGATTAGGCGGCTAAAGAAACCAAAAACAAAAATATCACATAAATCTCAAAATTGATTAGGCTTTTTTTTTTTTTTTTTTTTTTTTTTATTAGGCTCCTAAACCCCTTTCATTAACCACCAATTTTATTAAAAAAATATACATAGAAAACCACAAAACTCCCATAAAAATCAGAAAAAAAAAAAACTTTGTTTGCTGAAGATTTTAAACTATTCTGAATTTTGTACGATACCTAATTCTAAACCATTCGAACGAAATTGCATTTCAATCGAACGATCATTAATTGAAGATTCGACGCAATCAAGATCAGTTCTTCGACAATATATCAATGTTAGATCTATTTTTCTCAAAAAAAAAATCAAGGTTAGATCTATTTATTTTTCGTTTTTCTCATAATTAGTGTCATAATATATGAATCAATGGTGATTTTAATTGATTTTTCCATTCCGTATGTTGTAGCAATTGAATTAAGTTTGATTCTAGTTGCTATGCTTGAGTAGAATTTTGCCCCAATTTTGAATTTATTTTTGCAATTTTATGCTTTAATTTCAGATGGCCAAACTGAATTTTATTCTTAAGTTTTCATAATTTCGTATGCCAACTTACCTGATTTCATATCATTAGTTCGATATTTGTGAAGATTAATTACTTTGATTATATTTTTTTGTATAATCTGTTCATTCTTTTGATAATTGTTTTCTTTTTTTTTGAAGACTCTGATAATTGTTTGCTTGTGCTGCTACTTAGTTTATTTGGCTAAAAAATTGATGAAAACAATTTTATTATGAAAAAGATTCTATGTCAATCGATTATCAAATCATTCCTTAGACTTTATGGGTATTCATTATATTATGCTCTAAGAAAATTAGTTTTATTTAAGTTTAATTTGTAATTGAAGTAGATTTTTGTTTCTTTCCACATAATAATTTAGGCCAAAGTTTTTATCGGATGACTTCGGATGACTTGTTGCTATGTCAAGTGTTTAGAAGGGAGGGGGGAAGGTATGTAGCAGGGAAGGGGGCAGGGGGTAGTGTGCAAGAAGGGGGGAAGGTATGTAGCATGAAGGGGGGGCAGTGTGTAGGGAGGCGAGCAGTTTGCAGATAGGGGAGTGGGGAAGTTTGCAAGCAGGGGAGGGGCGTGTAGGCAAGGATAGGTGTGCAGGGAAGAGGGCGGGCAGAGAGAGGAATAGTGTGTGCAACGAGGGGAGGGAGCAGTTGTGCAACAAGGGGAGGGGACAGTTGTGCAATAAGGGATGAGGCAATTTGCAGGATAGGAAGCAGTTAGTAGGAAGGTAATGAGGTAGTGTGCTAGCAGGGAGCAGGTGTGTAGGTAGGGAGAGGGAAGGTGTGCACTTAGAAGGGACATCTATTGAATTAAAGAAGACATTGTTGAAAGATGAAGATGCATTTGTTAACGAACTCAGCCTGATTGTTGATGTTTGCGACAAGATGAGTACATTTGCAGCTTGAATTTTGTTATGATGTTTGTTTGTCTTGTAATTATGTGCTCTCAAGGTGTGTGATGAATGGCTTGAATAACATACTGTCTGTTACTTTGGGTTGAATGGTTGTTTGTTACATGTCTACTGGTGAAGTATTTGTTAGTTGGGAGTTGGGTTAGATGAGAGTTAATGTATATAGTGGTTATCTTTCTGGTGTGACTGGAAATTCTGTTAGTTTTACATGTGTTATATTCAAAGAGGAAAAAGGTTTAATTTTAATTTACAGATCTGTCATTATATATCTTTCATCTTTTGTTCGTTTGTGAGTTTATTGTCTTGGTTTAATTCTTTAGCTTATATATAGAGATTTTGGCTGGTGTTCATTGGGTTTGTGTTCTTAGGATAGACATTCAACTTAGCCTTTTGAAAACGCTAGGCAATCTTTAAAGAGGATATGATTTCTTAGAGATATTGGGATAAACCTTCTGCTGGATAAGTTAGATTAAGTAGTGCTTTTTTCACCAACATTATTTAGGCTAAATTTGTGATTTTAGAGAGTTAGGAGAGAGATAATACACAACCGGCCATTGAATAAATTTTCATGGCTTCATGGTCTAGAAACTAGTTATGTGTACTCTGCCATTTGGTAAGGAAATAAACTAAAAGCATGCCTACAGACAAGCAAATAAATTATGCTGGACTAAAAAAGATCTTGAGTCGGAAACCTTAGCCCTCAGGCCCTCAGTCAAGCCTGACCCATCCAGCATGCACATGTGCTAGCCTAAGCTATCCAACTTTGGTCCATAAACTTACTTTGAGGTATAACGGATATGTTATATGTTTATAATATGAATCCTTACCATCTGTTATAATATTAATTCTAACAAGTTTGTTGCTTAAAGTAGACATAGTTTAAGTTTACAACACGAGCATCTGTTTTATTGCTTATAGTTGTATTGTTTATTCAGTATAGATTAAGGCAGATGTTGAGACTTAGGGAGAATTTGTTATTCATTGATTCGAGAAGATAATAGTGATGTTTACCTTAATATAGACGACGGTTTGGCATTGATCAACTAGCTGGATGATGAACTGTGCTTTGTTGTGAGTAAGGTGTTTGTAGTAATTCACTTTTTTATGCCTTTTTAATTGTGATGGTTGGAATTCAGTTGTAGATAACTATATAATTGTTGCTAAGATTCTTAATATCATATCTGATAATTATCTTACTGTTATTACACGAAATTTATATGTTTTGCAAGTCTTTTTTAGAAAAAACAGAAATTGCATAGCCCTTAAAAAGTTGGTTTCATTGTCTGAGAAGGACAAGTATTTCTTCAGACATTGCATTCTTAACTGAAAATTTTCTATGTACTCTAATTAATTTTATCTTACGGTAAACTTGATATTTGATTTCAGGTTTGAGCGTACAATATGTGTAGTCGATTTGAAGTTGTGCCGATATTGAAGAAGTTGGTGATGTGCAGTCAGTACGTGTTCTGGTTGGAGAAAGCAGTAGTTGGGCGTTGTAGTTGCTTTAAGAAGTAGCGTTTTTTTTTTTTTGAGGAAAGTGGTGTACTCTAATCGACCAATTGTATTTTTTTTATCAATTTTTGGGATGGAAAGTGTAAATTTACATGTTATTAATGAAAATATCTTAGTTTTGTGTATATGTGTAATGTGTCAATTGATCAACTTAGGCAACATAGTATATTGCTTATTAATTGCTTTTTCTACTAATGTTTTAGCAACGGAAATATTTATGGTAATGGAGTTTGTTAGCCACGGTAGTATTTGTGGCAAGCAAGCTTATTAGCCACTGGAATATTTGTGGCAACAATGCTTATTAGCCATGGTAGAATTTGTGGCTATTATTTGTTAGCCACGTTAATATTCGTGGCAAGTGAATTTGTATGCCACGTGAATACCTGTGGCATAAAAAGTAAAATTTGCCACGACATCCATTTTCCCGTTGCAAGTTTCTAGCCACGGCCTCATGTGCCGCGGGAGTAAATTTCAAAATTCCCGTGGCTAAATCACATAGCCACGGGAATTTTAAACTTGTGCAACGAGTTTATCTGTAGCACAAAGTTCAATTTGTTGTAGTGAAATAAGTCAGATTATAGAGTCGCATGCATATATGAGGCGACTCGTTAGGTGCTTTGTTGATTTTAACCCCAACTTAACAAGTCGCCTAATAAATATGAGACGACTCGATAGGTTTATAAGTCGCACCTTATGTACAGGTGACTCTAAAAGTCCGACTTATTAGGGGTTTTTTGTAGTAGTGTGACTTTCCTTTAATTTAAAAAAGCTTTGTTTGAATGCATTTGACTTTCATTTGATTCAAAAGCTTTGTTTGAATGTGTTTGACTTTAATTTGATTAAAAAAAAGCTTTGTTTGAATGTGTTTGACCTTCCTTTGATTCAAAAAGCTTTCTTTGAATGTGTTAGATTTTCATTTGATTCAAAAAACATTGTTTGAATGTGTTTGACTTTCATTTTATTCTAAAAGCTATGTTTGAATGCATTTAACTTTCATTCGATTCAAAAAGCATTGTTTGAATGTGTTTGACTTAAATTTGATTCAAAAAGCTTTGTTTAAATGTGTTTTACTTTCATTTGATTCAAAAAGCTTTGTTTGAATATTCATGACTTTAATTTGATTAAAAAAGCTTTGTTTCCATGTGTTTGCCTTTCCTTTGATTAACAAACCTTTGTTTGAATGTGTTTGACTTTCATTTAATTCTAAAATCTTTGATTGAATGTGTTTGACTTTCATTTAATTCTAAAATCTTTGATTGAATGCATTTGACTTTCATTCGATTCAAAAGATTGGTTTTAATGTGTTTGACTTTCAATAGATTTAAAAAGATATTTTGTAATGTTTACAACTTTCATTTGATTCAACTAGCTTCTTTGAATGTATACGACCTTCATTAGGTTCAAATAGCTTCATGTGAATGTGTTTGAATTTCATTAGAATCAAAAAGCTTTGTTTGAATGTGTTTGACTTTCATTTTATTCAATTAACTATGTTGAATGCATTTGACTTTACTCGATTAAAAAACCTATGTTTGAATGTATTGGGATTTTATTTGATTCGAAAAGCTTTGTTTGAATTTAATTTCATTCAAAAAGCTTTGTTTGAATGTATTTGACTTTCATTCAATTCAAAAACCTTTTTTTTTGAATCTTTATTACTTTTAATTGATTTAAAAATATTTGTTTTTATGTGTTCAGCTTTCATTTTATTTTATTAGCTTTTTGAATGCATATGACTTTCATTCGATTCAAAAAGCTTTGTTTGAATGTGTTTGACTTTAATTTGATTAAAAAAGTTTTGTTAGAATGTGTTTGACTTTCCTTTGATTTACAAACCTTTGTTTGAATGTGTTTGACTTTCATTTGATTCAAAAATCTTTGATTGAATGCATTTTACTTTCATTCGATTCAAAAGCTTTGTTTGATTGGGTTTCACTTTCAATTGATTCAAAAAGATATTTTATAATGTATACTGCTTTCATTTGATTCACAAGCTTCTGTGAATGCATATGACTTTCATTTGATTCAAAAAGCTTTGTTTGAAAGTGTTTGAATTTCATCTTATTCAAAAAGCTATCTTTGAATGTATTTGACTTTCATTCGATTCAAAAACCTTTCTTTGAATGTTTATTACTTTCAATTGAATCAAAAAGATTTGTTTTAATGTGTTCAACTTTCATCTGATTTTATTAAATTCTTTGAATGCATATGAAATTCATTCGATTCAAAAAGCTTTGTTTGAATGTGTTTGACTTTAATTTGATAAAAAAAGCTTTGTTTGAATATGTTTGACTTTCCTTTGATTCAAAAAGCTTTGTTTGAATGTGTTTGACTTTAATTTGAAAAAAAGCAATGTTTGAACGTGTTTGACTTTCCTTCGATTCAAAAATCTTTGTTTGAATGTGTTAGACTTTCAATTGATTCAAAAACTTTGTTTGAATGTGTTCGAATTTCATTTTAATAAATTAGCTTCATTGTATGCATTAGGCTTTCAATCGATTTAAAAATCTTTATCTGAATATGTTTAACTTTCATTTGATTCAAAAAGCTTTGTTTGAATGTGTTTGAATTTCATTACGTTCAAAAATCTTTGTTTGACTGTGTTTGACTTTCATTTGATTCTAAAAGCTTTGTTTGAATGCATTTAACTTTCATTCGATTCAAAAAGCTTTGTTTGAATGTGTTTGACTATCATTTGATTCAAAAAGCTTTGTTTTAATATGTTCTGTTTTCATTTGATTCAATTAGCTTCTTTCAATGCATATAACTTTCATTCAATTAAAAAAGCTTTGTTTGATTATGTTTGACTTACATTTGATTCAAAAAGAGTTGTTTGAATTTTCTTGACTTTAATTTGATTAAAAAGCTTTGTTTAATTGTGTTTGACTTTTCTTTGATTATCAAACCTTTGTTTGAATGTGTTTGACTTTCATTTGATTCATAAATCTTTGATTGAATGCTTTGGACTTTCATTCAATTCAAAAGATTGGTTCAAATATGTTTGACTTTCAATAGATTCAGAAATATATTTTGTAATGTGTACAACATTCATTTGATTCAACTAGCTTCTTTGAATGCTTATGACTTTCATTTGATTCAAAAAGCTTTATTTGAATGTGGTTAACTTTCATTTAAATCAAAAATCTTTGTTTAAATGTGTTTGACTTTCATTTCATTTAGTTACCTATGTTGAATGCATTTGACTTTATTCGATTCAAAAAGCTGTGTTTGACTTTCATTTGAGTAAAAAAGCTTTGTTTGAATGTGTTTGAAATTCATTTGATTCAAAAAGCTTTGTTTGAATGTATATGACTTTCATTTAATTCAAAAAGCTTTGTTTAATTGTGTTTAACTTTAATGTGATTAAAAAAGCTTTGTTTGAATGTGTTTGTCTTTCATTTGATTTTAAAAGCTTTGTTTGAATTCATTTAACGTTCATTCAATTCAAAAAGGTTTGTTTGAATGTTTTTGACTTTCATTTGATTCAAAAAGCTTTGTTTTAATGTGTTTGACTTTCATTTGACTTCCAAAAGTTTTGTTTTAATGTGTTTGACTTTCATTTAATTCAAAAATCATTATTTGAGTGTGTTTGACTATCAATTGCTTCAAAAAGCTTTGTTTGAATGTGTTTGATTTTTATTTGATTCAAAAAGCTTTTTTTTATTTTTTTTTATTTTTTTTTTATTTTTTTTTTGGAAAATAAGATTTTATTACCAAAGAGAGAAAGTTACAACTTACAAAAGCTAAGTTATAACTACCACCAGAACTCCAAAAGACCTGAAAACAACAGGCCACCCCACGACTAGTTCTAGATCCAAACCTAGCCACCTTCTAGGAAGGGTTCTAGGAAGGGCCTAGAACAACTGGACTCAGATTTCCGGCCACCTTCTAGGAAGCGTTCCGGAAACCAGGACTAGACAACAAATAACCAGAAAAACAACAAAGCCAAACACCCGAAAGTCACCAAAAAAACTACAGCCAGGAGCAGTCATGCCTGCAAACCGACCAGAAAACCAATAGAACAAAAATAAACAACAAAAGAGCACCAAAGCTAGCACCAAAAGCAGACAACATGGCACAGAGCAGTGCACAGTAGCACCAACAGCAGAGCACAGCACCAGCAGCAAGGCACATCAAGGCAAAGGTGCAGCAGCAGCACAACAGCAGTACAGTAGCATAAACCAGCAGTGCAGCAGCAACAAACAACACCAACAGACAACAACAACACACTACAGCAACAACAACAACACCAAAACAGCAGTGCAGTAACACAACCAGCAGTGCAGCAACAAGACAACAGTGCACAGCAACACCAAAAGCACAGCATTAGCAGCAAGGTGCAGCAAGGCAAAACAGTGCAGCAGCAGCAAAAGCAAAACAGCAGCAGCAGATAGCAGAGCAGCAACAACAAACAGCATAACACCAACACACTGCAGCAACAACAAAAGCACCAAAACCACAGTGCAGAAGCACAACCAGCTGTGCAGCAGCAAAGTTCAGCAAAGCACAGCAGTACACCCAACAAAACACAGCACCAGAGGTGCAAAGACAGCAAGAACAGCAGCAACCAGCATATAAAAGAAAAAAACAGTCAGCAGAAAAAGAACAACAAACAAAAACAAAGATGCAACGGGAACCTCAGCTGAGTAACAAAGAAACCAGAACGCAAACACTAGGAGCCCGAGACAAGCCCTAAACAATCAAATATTTGCTTCCCGCCGGGATTCTACAAACTGAATGAAAGACAATATCCCGAACAAGGGCATCAACAGATTTGCAGCAACCAGTAAAGAGAACTGCATTCCTTTGGATCCAAATACCATAAACCGTTTCAGTAAAGGCCACCTGGATCACTTTATTCTTCAATCTAGAACTTCTGCAGATTTTCTTCATCCAATCGACCTCATCACTAAACTGCTGAACAGGCTTGGAAACACATAAGATACCCAATACCTTACTCCAAACCTTCCTAGAGAAATCACAATCAAAAAATAAATGCTGAACACTTTCATTGCCATTCAGACATAGAAAACACTTTGGATCACAAGAGATGTGCCATTGAAGCAACCTATCCTTAGTGACAAGCCTATTCCACATTGCTAGCCACAAGATAAAACACTTTTGG